TGTTTTAACCCCCCCCCCCCCCCCCCCTTTATCCAAAGGAAAATAAAAAAGTGGCTTTATATACACACACACATACTATAATCATGAGAACTACGAATGTCAACCTGACAGTGGCTGGGATCTGTAGTTCCACAAGAACAGTAACAGGAAATCTTTCAATTGGGACATTGCTCATGAAACTAAACTGGAAAAACATTCTGTAATTTCCTGTTGAGTCTACAAGACAGAAAGTGAAGGGAACCCTCCCTAATGAGGCAGCGATGACAAGAAGGTAACAGGGGGGCTTTAACTCTCCCCTACTAGAACCAATATGTGTATAAAAAAAAAAAAGCAGTGGCTTTAAATAGGCTTTATTTGTAACAGAACTACAGACGCCAACCTGACACTGAGCGGGCGTGCTGGGATCTGTAAGTCCACAGCTTCCTGTCAGTTCACAGATAAAGATGGAAGACATTATTCCTGGGACTCCTTCAAACCTGAAAAGATATCCTCTCACTTCCTGTTGGGTCTACAGGACAGGAAATGAAGGGAAATCTCCTTGAAACACAGATAGCAAAAACAAAAAACCTGACAGTGCTTTTAACCCTTCCGTACTTTATCCAAAACAGTTTTAACTTTAGATATACATGTGTAACAGAACTAAGACTGACAATGAGTGGCCATGCTGGGATCCGCAGTATCATGTCACTACCTTAGTTCCAGAACAAGGTTGAGCAACCTCGGCACTCCGGCTGTTGTGGAACTACAAGTCCCACGAGGCATTGCACGACTGACAGCCTCAACCGCCCCAGACACGATGGGATTTGTAGTTCCATCACAGCCGATAGGGGACCCCGGGTGACACCTGGTGAATCAGACCACCACCCAGTGCCACCACCCCAGGGGCAGGCCCTGATTGAACACATCGTCCTCCCTCCTCGGCAGCCACAGGTTGCAGTAAACTTTTCCGGGGGTCTCACCTGCAGCACCAAGGGCTCGGGGTTGAAGGAGAGGGTGAGCAGCAGCTGCATCCGCTCCGTGTCCTTGAGGTTCTTGAGCAGGAAGCTGCCCGAGTCCTTGGTCTCAGCGTAGCGCCTGACCACCCTGTCCAGCAGCCGCTGAGAAGGGCAGTGCACCAGGTCCGACCAGCCCTCCACCACGTCCGGGGTGAGCAGCCGCACGTCGCCGTTGAGCCGGGCGAAGTCTGTTTTGTACATGGCCTGGAGGAGGTCGCAGCGGGGCCGCCCGCTGGCTTTCTTGCAGATCTTCTGGTCGAGCTCGGCCAGCTCGTTGTTGGAGCCGAGCCTCTTGAGCACAACGCGGCGGCTGCCCTCCCGCGGCTCCCCGTACTGGGCGAAGTGCACGTTCTTCACGTTAAAGAAGTCCAGCAGGCGCACGCGGCTCCAGCCCTCGAAGCTCAGCTGGCCGTTCATGAACTTGCGGCACCAGCTGGTCCCGAAGCACGCCGGGCACTTATTGAGGCTGAGGAAGCGGCGCTCGGTCAGCTCGTTCCGCTGGAAGGAGGCGAGCAGCGAGTGCGTGTTCATCAGCATGACGACCAGCAGGCTGGCGGCGAATGGGGCGCTCAGGTAACGCTCCGTCCCCCTTTCTCGGTCCCCGCGCTCGAGCCGCTCCGAACTTACTGACACAGGCGGCTCGAAACATCCGGAGCCAACAATCGGGGACAGGAGGCGTGGCTGCGTGGAGGGAGGTGGGAAGGCTTGTTGTGTCACGTGATGTGGCGAAGGGCGGGGCGGTGACGTGTGGCTAACTGCCGCCATCTTGGGATGGTGAAAGTTCACTCCCAAATTCTCTCGTGTTTCTGTTCTCTTCCCCTGTTCATGCAAATAACGAACGCTATTCATTCATATCCTTACATTTCTCCTAGGGGAATGTAATATTTATGCGTTTCTTTAAAGCTGAGTTGTAAGGAGATATAAAAGACACACATTAAAGCAGCTCAATTATTATTATACAGGATTTATATTGTGCAAGCAGTTTGCACAGCACTTTACAATATAGGGAAGACATTACAGTTACAATACAAATCAAGAGGCTTTATCATAATACATCATTTGGGATTGAATAACAACAGTCCGCATGTTTTTGTGCGTTGTGTAGGGCGGCGCGTTGTTACGATGCCTTGCAATGTTAACTGTTCACTTTTTAAAAAACTTTATTGAAGTGTCACAAAATGACGCTTCATTCAGTTCTATGCACCACAGCGTGTAAGGGTCATTGAGTTGGGGAAGGGTCCTTCACACTAAACTGTGCTAAAACGCTCTGATTTAGCAGACGGGCTAGTGCATAGTGGCAGCTCGCAGTGTGCATATTGCGCAATGCCGCAGCTGTCAATGTTTTTTTTAGTTTATAGCTACATAAAGAACCATCATTCTTACAGTAATGGAATTACATTCCTAGGAAAGTGGTCACATGAATGTTGGAGAATACTCTATTTAGTTGTACATAATACACACCTATAGTACAAGGTTCAGAAGGCTAAAAAGGCACTTAATATCTCGTAGAAGATGTTTGGTTTCTAACACATTGTATTTTCATTCTGTTAATAATATGTTGGTGGTCAGATTGCAAAACCTTAGCATTTGGAAATATAGCTGTACCCAGGATAGTTTCATTTAAAGGGTGTGCCAGGTGAGCATAATGAAATGCTCTCCAGCACACCTACCATCCACCCTTCAGACCCTTTGATTAGCTGGAATTCGATCTGCAAAACGTTCTCCAGGGACAACAAAAAGCTGCTGCAATTGGTAGCTAGAACTCTTATTTGACATCAAAACGACAGAGTGCACAGAAAGCGTCATGTTTTTAGGGGCCAGTGACTTTGTTATATTAGATTGGACTTATTCTGCAAGCAATCCAAACTCTGCATTGAACCAAAAGACCAGGGGAACTCTACTGAAGTATTTTTCACTTTTAAAAGCCTTTTGTTTTTCTGTGCATGTCTGTTTTGTAATATGTTTTCTGTAAATATTTTTGTTTCATTAAAATGATTTTTGAAAATCATTAAGCTGAATCTCGGTATGTTTTAACTAGAAATTATGAACTTTTCCTCTTGGAAGTAGCTACTGTAGTATAAAACTCTGTTATACTCCAGTCTGGGTGTGGCAGCATGAGATATAAATGTTTTTAAAGGTCAGAAATGCAACATAAACGGTGCAAGTTTTTGTTCAAAACACATGATGGCAGCTACCGTGTGTACACATAAAGGGCAAATGCTCAGATAACCTGTCCTGATCACTCTCAGTCTGCTGGTTCTTAGACTGGTGCCCTGCGAGCTGAAAAATGTCTGCAAATGGTAAGGCTGAGAGTGTAATTGTCACAGCGCACCTAACAAAAACAGGAGAAGAGCCTGGTCACATAGCAATTCAAAGCCACATTCACTGGGTCTCCCCGAGTCATGGAGCTCTCTCTGCTGCAATAAACGAGAGAGAACTGTGAAGTACCGTAGGATCCACACTGCGGCCTGCATTTCATGAATACAATGTAAACTGTTGAGTGCCTAGTCCTGCAGAACATGATGGAGAGCTAGAGAGCGTACAGCAATCTCTGCTCTGTTATAAATTAACAGATTTAGTCAGTCATGGAACAACATTTTAGACTGCTGAGTATTTTATCACCTAATAGTGTAATAATAGTTTAGCACCATTATTGGTGTATATATAGATGAAGGAAATGGTTAATATAGCTGTATATACTTTGAGGAGAATTTATGAAAACTGGAGCAGCTCTGCATGGCAACCAATCAACTTCTCTCTTTCATTTTCAAATCTTAACTGAACAAACTGAAGAGAGAATCTGATTGGTTGCCATGGGCAACTGCCCCAGTTTCTGCCTGCTCCAGTTTTGATAAATTCCCCTTTTTGTTGTTATGCATTAACAACATATTTCTATTTTTAATTGGTGATGGTTGTTATGCATTGTTAACAACATATTTCTATTTTTAATTGGTGATGGTTGTTATGCATTGTTAACAACATATTTCTATTTTTAATTGGTGATGGTTGTTATGCATTGTTAACAACATATTTCTATTTTTAATTGGTGATGGTTGGTGTTTTATTGTAACATATGATTTTATTAATAGATTTTTCTGATTAAAGTTTTTTTATGCCCTAAAGCACACATTTCATGACTATATTAAAGGATATTTAAACCCTCCTGTTTTTTTGCATATATCTACTGCTAGCAAGCAGTAGATATATGCAAAAAGTAAAAAAAAACACAGCAGTTTAGACTCGCCTGTGTTCCGTGCGCGGTCCCGAGCCGAAAATGAGAAATTTCTCGAGCGGCCGCAAAGGATCTTGGGGCGCGCGCATGCGCAGTTCTAATTTTCGGTCGGGACGTGACGAGGGACGCAAGGTAAGTGTATGGACGAGTGCACCCGCATGCAGACACCGCTGGATCGGAGGGACATAGCAGTCAGCGCTGGATCGGAGAGCCGCCGCACCGCTGGAGAGAAGGCTGAAAACATCAGGAAAGTAGAGGAAGATCGGAAAAAGAGACATAATTTAAGGTAAGTGCTAACATTAACATTGGGGGGGAGGGAAAACATTTTTTGCCTTTAATGTCAGTTTAAATGATAGCAAAGTCTTGTTTTCCATCCCAATAATTAAAAGAGTGAAAGGAGTAGCTTGAATTGGATTTAAAGTAGAATTAAACACTCATTTTTTTGCTTATATCTACTGTTAGCTAGCAGTAGATATATGCAAAAACATTACAAAAAATAAAAAAGTTTTTACTTAAAGTAATTACTTACCTCTGTCTCCGCCGCTCGCTCCAGTCTGAAGATCTGGAGCTTCTTGAGTGGTCAAGCAGGATGATGGGGCCGGCGCATGTGCAGTGATGATCTTCAGTAGGGAGAAGAGGAGAAACTCAGTGGAGCTGAATGAAGGCAGCACGTTGGAAAGATATCGTGGGACCCAAGGAGTCTGCGCTGGATTGGAGACAGCAACAGCGCTGGAGGGACTGCTGAATTCAAGTGGAAAGAAGAAGATGATCGACTCAGGAGGCATCATTTAAGGAAAGTCCTTAAAGCTGCATGGGGGGGGGGGGGAATTGTGACTGTAATGTCACTTTAAGGATATGTGCTCCACATGGTGTTCCACTAACAAGTTGAGGGGTTATAGCCTCTGTTTGAAGTAAAAATATAAAATCAGTTCAATATTTTGGTAGGCAAATCACATTTTAACTAAGCTGAATCATTCTTCCGAATGTTTACACAAGGGAATGTTTGGAGACCATATCCAGAGAAATAGCAACTACTAGCAATTTGCATGCATATGCTCGGCAGTACATGATTACAGCTAACCCTATCGGGGGTTCTTGCTAAATAGTAAGCTACATATATTTAAGAAGTACTGGAGTAGATCCTATGGGTAATCTATAGGTAGTTTGGCCTCCCCTGAGCTATTGAGTAGCATTCTGTCTTTACTATGAACCCCCAAAGTTATATAGGTTTAACCGAATGACATTTCTAAGTTAAGACACTCAAGTTTGCCCGACTGGCAACAACTGAAGTGCACGAAGAATTTTTAAGTCGCGCATGCAATCTGTATGCAGCGGTGATCAGGACAAACAACCATAACATGGACACAGGGGTCAGGGGAGGCAGCATTCACAAAGACTCATATAGAAAAGCAGCAAAATCCAGAAGACAACCCTGGATTACAACTAGAACAGCAGAAATTGCAGATATCGAAGCACTTCAAAGACCAGAAGGAACCTTTATTGTCAAGCACAGTCCCGGAGCACTGAGTAGATTTTAATGACTGATGTTTGTAATGCCAAAATTAAGCAGCAGCAGGCCTGTGCTACGGTAATTTATAAAGGCTGGTAGACAGCCAGTGCACATGTTTAAAGAGATTGTCTAGGAGGGAGACAAGGGAATAGAATATTTAATTCATGTTAATTTTTGATTGCCTATTGCTCCAACCTTTGCCTGTATTAAATTTGTATGTAAACACTGCCTGCTCAACCTAATTTTGTTGACTTTACCTTTGTCTCCAACTTGGTATATCACTTGGGTTTGCTAGCTGCACATCAGCTGTCACCAGTGGGGTAAGCCTCTGGGACCTTAAACCTTGTATAGTTTTCTGGTAGATAATGATGTTTGTTAAGCTCCATGCTTTGGTTGAACAAATGCCTTACTGCTACATTGAAAGGCACTCACGTCGTGAATTATGAGCGCTGTTCCATACAGTAGTACTTTGAGCCCAGGCTACAAAATAATGTCATCCCAGGGGGCAGGTCTAATAGAGCCTGGTATCGGAGGATGTGGGTTGGCTGTCATTGAAGCCACAAGACCAGTGACACTTCTGAATTGAAGGTGAGAATCCCAGCTAGTTGTTTTTATTTCATCTTTTGATGGGCTATGCATATTTCATTTTTGGAGTTCTGCCTTCAGAAGTGAGTTTAAGTGTTCAGCATTTACCATATCTACAATTTCATATCTTTTTGAAATGGGGTTAAATACATAAGTGAACTTAAAGCAGATCTAATCCCAAAAGAAAAGATGTAATTTATTGCACCTTACCAGTCATTAGATATGGTGGTTGCATACGTTTTGTGCTTTTTGTAAGCTTTCTTTCCTTTAGTTTCACCTAGTGACACAGCCAGTAAGTCTGTTATTTTTCAACTTTCTTTAACAGGCCAAACTGACCATCAACCATGCCAGATAGAGGGCTGAGACAAACCTTTTTACACTGACAGTGGTGCTTGCAATGATCAGCTTTTTTTTAATTGTGTAAGAATAAACCTGCTG